CCCACACAGTCCAAGGAGGCGAGCCCTACCCCCTTGATAGCTGCACGCAGAGGCCTTGTCTCTGGCCTCAGCTTTCTGGGCGACCTCAACCCCACCCTGCTGGATTCTGCAGCCCCCTCCCCGCCCCCACTGTGTTTTGCCTGTTACCATACCTGCATAGCACTGATGTCGGCGTTCTGCTTGTCCTCCAGCTCCTGCAGCTGCTTCTCCAGCGCTTCGTTCATGCCCCGGCACGCTTCGATTTCCAGGGTCTTGGCCTTGAGCAGGCGACGGCTCTCGGACACCTCGTCCTTGGCGGCACGCACCGCATCTGTGTTCTTGGCGGCGCTCTCGGTCAGCACGGTGAAGCGGCTCTTGAACCACTCTTCAGCGTTCTGCATGTTCTTAGCAGCCAGCTTCTCGTACTGGGCGCGGATGTCCTTGAGTGCGGCGGAGAGGTCGGGCTTGGAGGACACGTCCATCTCCACGGAGATCTGCGCGTACTGGATCTGCGCCTGCAGCTCAGCGATCTCCTCTTCGTGCACCTTCTTTAGAAAGGCGATTTCGTCCATCAGGCTGTCGATGCGCTTTTCGAGCTCCGCGCGGGCGAGAGCCGCCTCGTCGGCGCCCTTGCGAGCTTCCATCAGCCGGCCCTCGGCGTCCTCGCGACTCAGCACCTCTTCTTCGTAGCGCGCCTGCAGATTGCGCAGAGTCTCCTCCAGCCCCTCGCGCTCGCCCTGCAGCGCTTGCTTTTCGTTGGTGGCGTCTTCCGCCGCCAGACGCAGATCGCGGATCTCCTGCTCGTACAGCGCCCGGAAGCGCGACGGCTCCGAGTGCTTCTGGCGCAACACCAGCAGCTCGGCTTCCAAGACCTTGTTCTGCTGCTCCAGCTCGTGCACGCGCTCGATGAAGCTGGCGAAGCGGTCGTTGAGGTCCTGCAGCTGCGCCTTCTCCTGGGTGCGGATCGACTTCAGGTCGTTGCTGATGGCGGCTACCTGGCTCAGGTCGAGGTTCTCGAGACTGGGCATCAAGGAACCCGAGCTGGAAGAGTAGCTGCGGCGCACGGACAGTGAGGAGGAGACCGGCGCCGAGTAGCTGGAGTACGCGGAGCGCGCGGTGCTGTAGCCGCTGCGCACGCTGGAGATGTGCACCCGGGGCGTCTCCACGTAGCGCCGCTTGTAGGAGGTCGAGTAGTACGGCTCGTAGCTGAAGGAACTCATGGTGGCGGTTGGTGCCCCTCTGGCTGGCGGCAGAGACGGGGGCCTACAGAGAAAGAAGAACGGGGGAGAGAGGGAGAGGGAAAGGGAAGGATGGATGGCTGTGTGCGGCTCGGCGCGGTTCTGCCACCCGTATTTATACGCGGAGAGGGTTCTGACGCAGCCTGCGATCCATCACTGCGCGCCGGCCGGTGGGGGCAGCGCTGCTGCAGCCCGGGGAGGATTCTGCGCAAAAGGAAGGCGGGGGCGAGCGACAGGCCGCTGGCGTGCTGCGGCTCTCGTCCCTTCCGCTCTCCTCTGAGGCCTCCCGTTTTCTCTGGGCCATACCCCCTCCCCCAGTTCCTTACCATACCCTCTCCCACCCTATCCTACTAACTCCTTGACCCGGTATCACTGGGAATCTAAAATCTCCCCAATAACAGGTTCTCCCTCCCTACTGACAACTTAGCTTTCCAAATCATGGTACCTTGGAGACACACTTCTCCCTAACTCGCCCCTTCCCCATCAGGGGTCCCCGTCATCATCCCCTTGGTGTTTATGGTGACAATGCAGTGCCTGTAGGGCACTGGAAATACAGATACTCTAAGGCTACCTGTCTGCGGCATATGTGGAGGAAAGTTTTATATATTTTTTGAGGCTGTTTCTGGCCCTTTCTTTAATTCCTCTCCCTTGCTCCTGGTTATTATTTTTTTCCCTTTAATGCGCTGCTTCTACCCACCCGTACACACGTGAAACTGCAGCACTGCAGGTGTTGAGTTGAGCATTTCTAAACCTTTGGAGCAAATAATATCAGCCTTTTAGTGTTCCTAGATTTTCTCATTTGTTTCTGGGGAAGGAAGCCTCCCTTGTAGCTTGTAGCGTGGTCAAGCGTGCAGCGGAGGAGAGCCGGACAATGAGTTTGAAATTAACCCGGGAGAAAGCCGACCGCAAAGGCAGCTGTGAGGTCCGCGGCGCATACTTCAGACTGTTAATGCTCCCTGCATTTTCATCAAGCTAAATTCCTGTTCGACACCCCTAACCCCATCACATTAAAAGCCCCTTTCCCTCTTTTTACACCTGTGTAGCACCCAACCTGATGATTTCAACAAGCCGCGCAGGTGGCTGAGTCAGGGAGGCGGCTGCTGCAAGCCGGGAGCCCGAGGGCGGTCTCCCGGGAGGAGAACTCAGACCCGAGACATCTCGTTCTGGGGCGGACAGAAAATTGCCGCGTGATTCTTTCCCCCGATTCATTCTAATAAGTAGGTAACAGATACAGTCAGGAACCCATGGGTTTCCTTTATGAAACACCCAGATACCTGAAACAGTGCGCACGTCGTCAAGGCACAATGGTCCTGCGGTTTGCGGCGCATACTAAACATTATGTTAGAGTCCCTCGGCTTTCGTGAGCGGACGGCAGACATTTACATTAGATACCTAAGATTTTTCTAAGCAAGCATTTAATTTTTGTTTTATTTGTATAAGGGTAGCTTTTGACTGCAACTTACTGATTTTTTTTTAAAGGCAAACTTATAGGAAACACGATAACAGTTTTCATATAGAGAAGCCGAAATCGCTTTCCAGTTGATGCTGAGAGGGTGGAGTATTTAGAGCCAGCACCACAATTGCTCCCGGAGGTACTGCACTCTCCCGACAGGAGAGCAGGGTGAGGCTTAATCTCGGAGGTTTGCTTTGCAACTCTAAAATACCTGCGATTCGGACACCCCACCCTCTGTATGGGAGAGGGAAAGACTGCAACAGAGAACTTTCATGGGTTTCTAAATAATCTCTATTGCTTCAAATAGTGCAACTTTAGAAACATTAACTTTGCTAGTTTAAAGCTATCAAGAGGTTCATCCACGCTCCATCATTCTAGGGTTTCAAGCCTAAGCCATTAATTAGGCTGTCCTGAATTTCCCTTGGGTTTGGCAGACATGGTACAGCACTTATCCTGGCGACTTTTTATAACCCACGTGTCCTTGGCCTCCACCATTCATCAGTGATTCCAGTAGGACGGGCTTCTCACAGGAGAATGAAGGGGGTGGGAGAGAACCCAGATAAGCCATGTTTTTGTCTGCGCCCAATTACCCATATGTGAATGAAAAGTGGCAGAGTGGATTTTTTTTTAAACCTGCCCCATATAAACCACATTGTTTCACACTGGCTTTGTGTGCGTCTGCCTACACCACTCTTAGGTAATCGTGAATTCATTTCCTGTGTGCCAGAGCCCTTCCCTCCAAGTTTCAGGTCACCCTCAGAAATATGAAGTCCATCAGCGGTTTTTTTTGCCACGCTCCTGGCTGAAGCCTTTGACTGCAGAGGAGGCTGCTCAGAAAGAGGGAGAGGTTGATGGATGCCGCAGGGGCGGTGAGGTGCTGCAGAGAGAGAAACCTGTGGGGCAGCTGCTGGGTAGCTGAACAGGGCGGCACACAGGCATGGGGAAGGGTGGGGAGAAGAGGGCAGGGCCCTTGCCTTTGCTGAACCTGGTGAACAGGGAGGGGCGAAGGGGGAGGGGAACTGTATTTACCAATGTAGAGCTCGAGTCTTTTAAGATAACGCCTGGCTCAGCCACTGTCCTTCTCCACTACAGCTGTGCTTTAGAGCAGCCTGTGCCTGAGTTTTGGTGACTACCTTCAGCCTTCCTCTGCTATGTGTCTGCCTCTTTTTAAAACATTCATCCTCCTTTTTAAATTCTCTTCCCAGCATTCTGCTCTGAATGTCCACATGGCATTTTTCTGTGTGTCACAGCAAAGGTAAAATGAGCAACTTTAAAAAAATCTGTCAGAAAAAAAAAAAAACCACCTTGACTCCCCCGACCCCACCCCCCTTATTTTGAGTGTTTCTGCATTAGTGTTGTTTGCAGTGGTGTCATTTCTTTAGAAGAAGGTTTTTGGGGCTTGCTACACACTTGTGTATTTATTCCCTTTTAAGTATATTTTCCACCAACATGAAATTGGTTGAGAGGGCTGCCAACAAAACATACTCCTAGGAGATAAAAATTATTTAGAAAACAAATAAAGAAGTATGTTGATGAAACTCATTAATAAAATTTCTCCTGCTTTGGTTATCCCTGATAGCTCTGTTATCCCCTAAGGGAAAGTTTGACGTAGTTTAGTGTAAAGGTAAAATATGTTAACATTACCACAAAGCTCATAAAATATACTTCTTAGAACCACTGAAAAAGTTTTTCTTTTTCTACAGTGCCAATAGAGTCAGAATGCTTCAGATGGATAGATAGGACCTGGTGACTTTTTATTATTTTAAAATGCTTTGGCACAGCAGGAGGGTCCATATTGGCATTTGTTTGGAAAAGCTCAGCTTTAGGCTGAAATTCTTAAGAAGTGGTATCAGAAAAGTATCAGTCCAGGGGTAAAGGGAGCAGAGTTCTGCCACCAGTGAGCTGTGGGACTAGTCCTGGTCCAGAACAACAGATGGGTCTTTATTCACCTCACCATCAGGAGGATGGATACATCAGTGTCAGCAAAATTGGCATCCGTTTGTGCATGCAGAGGATGAAGGAAATAAACACGTGCAGGACACCTATCCTATGACAGCCATTTGAAATCTATTATTTTAAAGAATTACAAAATCCTCATGATGGTTACTGTTATTCAGAGCAAACAGCTGAGGCCCAGAGAGGTTAAGTAATTTGCCAACTCACACAGCTACTCCAAACCTAAGCTCTGTCTGCTTCCAATCTGGGCAGCGCTCTCATACACACGCTGAAGCCCCCAGCATTTGCTGTTTCCACATGTCTCTGTGGAATTTGATACTTGCATGCGCAGTCTGCAGAGTCCAGTGTGTGGGTAGTAAACCTTTTATGTGTTGGGGCCACCAATGTGAACTGATTCATACCATGAGGACATTGTTGGCAAGCACGTTTCAGTGGGACAGCTAGTGGTGGCAGTATACTGTGTGGATGTTGTGTATTGTTTCTTAAAGGACCCTAATGTAAAATAAAATGGAGGCTGCCAATGGAACACGTTTTAGACATTACTCTGAACATCAGTTTATAAAACACCTTTTCTGGAATTAATGACCTAAAATGCAACTTAGCTGACCTAAACTCTTTAAAATAACTATATCATGACTTCCACCTTTTTTCTAACTTAAGTACTTTCATTTTCCACTACTGTAAATAGGTTTTCTTTGAAAAAGTGACCTTAAAAATTGTGGTAAAGAATAAAAGAAAAATGCTAGCACTCACCATGTCATTACTGGAGTTTATCATGCTTTCTGCAAAACTTTAAAGAAAGAAACCTGAGTAAAACCAACGAAAATGTATAGTGTGTGGAAGCCACAGATGTATTTCCTCCCTGTTTCTTGTAACCAGTTTATTTCTTTATATATTATGCTCACCATAGGACTCATCGTCCAGGAATCTCCCATCTCTTGGGTAATGTGTTTAAAAGAAAACTTTTCCAATTGTAATACAAAATATGCCTGATTTTACAGCATCATGTCGTGAAGCAATGCATCATGAAGTGTGCTCTGCAGCTGTATAGATTTAGATTGTAACAGGAACAAGACTGTCATTTGAATAGATTAAAAATGAAAAGCACATTTACGTTCAGAACACATGCGGTGTGACCGGAACCTGCTGCTGACCATGCAGCAGTGAGGGTGACAGGTTCAAACCCCTAAATGCTTGCTCCATGGAACCTGCCACGGCACTGTTTTCTCCCCAGAGGCCTGCTCCACAGTGCCTTGCCCTTAATCACAGTCACAAGACCCAGAGGTAGGAAGGGATGCTGGGGACATTAACAGGCTCAATGTGCAGTGATTCCAGGCAGGTCACAGCCCTCCCAGGCAGAACCCACAGTGCTAACCTTGTTTGTTGAATTGTGCTTTCCTGACTGCAAGGAAATACATGCTGCTTCTGCAATTTGGGGACTGACCAGCCTCAACAACATTCCATGTGGCACCTGGGTTTCTTTACTGACCTTTACAGTGGTTTAATAAATCAACCCGAGGAGTGCGAGCCTGACTGTTTGCAAAGAGAGAGAATAAGCATTTCCGCCTGTCTGCAGGAGACAAAGCCCAGAGGTTGGCTGTTTCACAGCCACGCGGCAGCCCATCCCAGGCAGCCCGTTCGCTGTCTCGCCAGCAGTAGTACTTGGAATGCTGCTGCAGAATTGCAAATGGGCGGATCCCTGGATTCATACAGTAGAGCAGGCAGGCTTCTGACACCAGGATGTAGAACGTTGGCGTC